CCCCCCCCCCGACAACTATAGGAAGCAGTTTTTGTCACCATGTCGATAAACAGGTCCCTACGTGGATAAGACGAAAAAGCGGCAGCTTAGTGATCAGAAAGCGATACTGTAAATTCAAATTGGGAACAATATCGAGTTTAAAATAGACCTGGGAAGGCTTTTCTGCAGAAAAAGATTTTATGGTTTTAAAAGGTTAAGACAACTCCCCCCCCCCCCCCCCCAAAAAAAAAAAGGATTACTACTATAAATATCTGGTGATAAAAGATGACAAAATTTTGCTGGGAGATTCGTTTGAGGACGATTTACAAGGATTTCTGGAAATTTTCAGTGGTTGTGGAGCCCCAGAGAGCCCTGGTACGTTGTGACCATGTGTTGGGCAGGCGTTCAAACCACTACCTTTTGGTGCCCGAAGGTGGTGCTTTTGACTCCCAGAAAGATTTACAGTTTCAGAAACTTACAGGGGCGGTTCTGTGTCGTCCTATGGAGTCGGCATTGTCTCGAGGGCAGTGAGTGGTTTTATGATTTGGTTTTAAATATGGTTTGAGGAAGCTATACTGGCAGCAAAAGTGGAATGGGAGTAATTTTATTTTTCACCATGACTAATATGTAAACTTTAGAGTCCTAGTGGAGCAATGGTTAAGCTTTGGTCACTAATCTAAATAAAGATCAGTACTTCAGGGAGGATGATCCCTTCAGGGCCAGTGGTGAGAGTGGCGATACCGGATAACCTCCTCCCTGGGGGACGGACAACAGAAAAGTGGGTGAAGGGAGATGTTGGACAGTGTAAGATATGACAAAATAATAATTTATAAATTATCAAGGGCTCAAGAGGGAGGGAGAGCAGGGAGGGAGGGGGAAAATGAGGAGCTGATGCCAGGGGCTTAAGTGGAGAGCAAATATTTTGAGAATGATGAGAGCAATGAATGTACAAATGTGCTTTACACAATTGATGTATGTATGGATTGTGATAAGAGTTGTATGATCCCCTAATAAAATAATTAAAAAAAAAAAAAGAATAGTACTTTTGACTATCCGTGAGAGTTAAGATCTGGTGATCTGTCCCCAGGAAGATTGTAATCTAGAAATGACTTAGGGACAGATCTGTTTTATCTGATAAGCTTGCTCTTAGTCAGAATAGGGTGCATAGAAATGGAACAAGAACAATTTGTAAATGTGGTTATCAGATAGGCCAGCGATCCTTGAACTAACTACAAGCTTTTCTTTCTTGGTTTATTTTAATTTGTTCTTTGTCAGTGGCTTGATGTTGTTGCTGTTTTGTTGAACATTGTTGCT